GCGCTGCCTTATGTGACGGTGCCATGCCCGCGTCGCTCGGGCGGCGTATGTACCGCCTGCTGGTCGCGGCCGGCCGGCGCACAGTGTGGCCAAACACCAGTTTAGCGCGAATTAAATCCCAGCGCTGCTCGGATCCGTTGAAAATGGTTCCCTGGTTTCAAAATTGACACTTAAACCTATGTGAGACCTTTTACGATGCATTATAAATGCTTGCTGACAAATAATGGCATAGTTCCGCCTCTAAAAGTAAGGAGAACTAGCTTACGACGGGTGATGTGCTTACCAGGCCAGGGCTGTGAAGTCGATGGAGTTACTCCGACTCCGACTACGGCTTTCAAAAGTCAATTTCAACTCTGACTCCGGGCAAAACTGTCGACTTATACGATCGACTCGGACTCTGACTCCGCAGCCATGGCAAGTCCACGCAGTCGATGGATTTTCGGTGACTCAGACTACGAGTCTTGGTCCGGATTCCAAAATCGATTCCGATTCCGACTCTGACTGCAGGGTCAGAACTGTTGACTCCGAACGACTCCGACTCTGATCACGAAATCCTGGAATTTAACCGCAAATAAGAGGCATGAAATTGTGGGTCCCAGCAATGATGGGCATGTTAGGAGGAGGAATCGTTTACGAAATTCCCATCATTTCTCTGGTAAATTCTTATGATTGTCCAAAGTTTGCTTGAAAAAAATCAACATCTAATTATGTTTCTGTGTGAATGTTCCTGGTGAAGCACATGAATCGGTAGATGGTTGTTGAAATACACGCACCGATAAAACTGAACCTCAGCAATGGGAGTAAAAACAAAGACTTACACCATAAGCACCTTCATGTCACTAACCCTCGCCCGTATTGGTGTTTTGCTAGCCGCGAACGTAGGTCGGGTCAGGTCAGGTCAGGCCAACCAGTCCTGCCGGGTATTCATAATTAATAGGTGTCAACCGCCAGTGACAGCTTCGTTGCATGTTACGAAGGCACCAAAACTTCTTCCTAAATGTTCAAATGGTTACTAAATTCGAAATCAGCTCCAAAAACTAGCCTGGAAGCATGTAAAACTAAAAAAGGTGAACCAAAGTCATCAAAGGTCATTGAACTGACCTGACCTTCAAGTGATCTTGACACCGACCATAATGCATGGGACCAACATCATAATATCACATGTTTAGACGCTTGAAACCACGAAAAGACTGCAAACGCGCGGCTAATGCAAGCAAACATACGCCCAATCGCGCTTCCGGCCAAACATGGTCTCGAGAAATAGGTCACAGGTCAAAGGTCATTGGGGTCAGGGTCGTGACATTTAATGGGTAGGTGTAAAATTGATAAACTCGATGGTACTAAAAGTTTCGTCGCGATCGGCCGCTTTTTACATGAGCTTTTTGCGAGAAACCGAGAGGGGTCCTTTCGACCCCCACCCTCACCCCCTATATGGGCGAGGGTTGAAAAATTGTCAAGATTTATTCATTGGCGACCGTATTTTGCAATATAACAAGTCAGAAATACAGCGTTTGAGCCATCCGCGTAACGTTACGGAGCCGCCGCCCCGCCCACCGGACGGGGGGGGGGGGGGGGGGGGCGGGCCGGACCTCCCCGGGCGGGCCAACCCGATACGTTCAAAGCTGAGCCAAAGGCCGGGGGGCAAGTTGGGGCAGGGTTTCTTGAATGGGTCATGTCCAGAAAAGTGTGGCGAATCTTCTCATGGTAGATTTGACGTGGAGTTTTTTGGCCATTTTCTTATATCTCTACGTTTTTAAGATGGACAGTGTTTTCAGGGGATGTTTGAAAAGGTCATTTTCAAATGAGCATAACTCATCGGTTAGTCCAAGGATACCTATAGAATTCGGGTATACTATCAAATATAGGCTCAGTAGTCATATGCCACTCCAATTATTTCCAAACCTTTCCGACAATTACGCCAAAATGTGTTGTAAACATGACGCGGGTTTTCGACGATTTCAGCACAGCCGGGACCGACATTGCGTATGTCCACTTTAGCTAGCTTTTTGGACACCGAAAGGAAGACATTGAACCAAAGTATTGTGATATTTACATACTTTGGACAATTTCCTATCGACTGATAGTTATAAAAAGTCAAAATTCCAACATTCGTTTTTTGATTAAATTCGCGCTAATCTGGCGTTTGGCCACACTGTGCGGCGGTGCGGCGGAGTGGTGGAGTAGGCTCCTCGCAGTGAGGCGCCGCGTCGGCACCCGGCACCCGATCGACAGCGAACGCACGGTCGGCGAATTTTGATCAGCCGATGTGAGCCGTATCGACTATGGTATCAGGCGCCGCATCGACAGCTGCGTCGGCGCGATGCTGGCCGAGGGCAGGGTGCTAGTTTTATATAAACACGAGTGGTTTAGCAGCGTTTCAGTGCGGGGTTCCCCGCCAGTGGATGGGTCTGGACTGGGTCAACGGCTGTCACGGTAATGGATTCCACTCAGTGGCGGGATGGACCTCATTTCCTCCCTATGAACCACTATGAGGGTCCAGCTCGTCTACCGCCTGCCTTCTGACTCTAATTTTAGTGCACTATCTCAATGCCTCATCCGTGTAATGTCCGGGCTCATCTTCGGGGACTTCCCCAGCCAGCCTGCCCTCGGCCCGCGTCTGTCGCCGTCTCAACCCGTCCTGTGCCGGCCCGGGGCGCCGTCTCCATTAATCATCGCTCGTGTTGGCTGAGCGGCTCCGGTGGCGCTCCGTTGTCAGCGGCGCGTGCACGGCGCGTGATGGAGCCTCCCTCGGCGGGCCCTCAGCCGCCGGCGTCGGCGGCGACACGACGTCGACAGTGGCGACCGCGCGGAGCAGGCGGCGGTCGTATTACAGTCGCCATCACCTCGGCCATTAGTTAGCGGCGTGATTTATGACCTGTTTGTCGCCGCCGGCGGCTCGGAGAGACGCACAGGCAAAAACACTGACAGCAGCCGGCAGAAATCGGCCGCCGAGCCTCTGCCGCCGCGCAGAGGAGGTGGGCTGTGAAGGCGGGGGCGGGCCGGCCGGGACTGGACGAGATGGGTGGGATGAGAAGGGGATGAGGCGGGCGGGCGTGACGAACGAGGAGAGGTAGGAGATAGATAAGAATTGACGAAGATGGAGATGAGATGGGTGGATGGAAGTTGGCACTCAACACGGTGCTTTTGATGAGCTGGCTTGCCTAATGTTGAGCCTGAAATGTCTCCGATTGGCGTGGTTGTTATGAAGCTGACTCATGCAAAATCCGCTCAGAAGGAACAGAAAACATTACTAGAGCATGCAGAAGGCTCAGAATCTGGCAAAATTATTCGACTGCAAATCTGTTAACCTACAAATCACGCTTGGCTCTTTCAAGTCGCTTTTAAACTAAGCAAAAAATGTGCCAGGGGATGCATAGTGCTGCCTGACGCGAAACGGACCCCAGTATATCCGAAACGCAGTCTTATTTAGCTGTATGCTTGGCCTAGCGAGATCCACAACCGCTTTGATGTTTTATTCACTCCGCTCGAAGTGCAGCTGGGAAGCTCAGATAGAATATTTAACCTCCTCTCGTGAGATTTAATGCCATCACGAGACATGCTGCAATTAGATGCGACACTCGCAAGTGAGCCGTCTAAATCAATTGCACCCTCCGTCCCTGTGCCTGTCACTGTCACATATGTATAACATGTAGGTAGCCCTCACCGTTCTGGGGCGGTCATGACGCGTCTGTTCCGGCCTGCACCACGACAGCCGGCCGTTTTACGTGCCGCTCCATCCATTGCAGGTTCAAACATTACCGATCTGCATTTCATCAAGTATTTGACGCGTGAGTAGCGGTGTGATCCGACCCGGGCGACGACGGAGTCTGGCACGCAGCCGGCGCCGACACTGGGACTTCTTCGGCTGATATCATTGATGTCGACTTGGATTTTGGCTTCATTTGAAAATTGCAGATTGCGGAATATCATAGAAACCCAAGCTTGTGACTTATTTCAATGTTATTTGGTCCTGCTGTGGACACCAAGTTCCGGCAACCTTGTGTGCCGTTTGAAACATTTTTGCAAGTGAACTGAACATCCGAAGGAAGAGTCTGCGTTCGTCGGCTGCCTGTCCGCCTCTGTCGGAGCCCCCGGGTCGGGTCTCGCCGGGAAATGATTTGAACGAACACTGCTCTGCCGGAGATCCGTTCTGAGATTTACTGCTGTGCAAAGTAGGAATGACGCAAGTACGCCAAGTTTATTAAAACTAATGCGTTGTTCAGAGCGTATGCCTGATCTACCAGCGCATAGGCATCTCCGGTAGAATAGCTGGGGTGAGGCCGACTTCGAAAAGGCTTCGCGAAGATTGTGAGAAAAATGAAGGCGCCGCGGCCCGCTGCTATCTGGGGCGTAAAATAGGCCCCGTGCTGAGTTTGCTTCTGCGCGCGGTCGCGTCATTGCGAATTCGCCGAGTCATTTTCGAATCGGCCGAGCCGCCAGTTGAGCTGTGTGGCCGACTTTGTGCCGTCTCGCCGAGTCCGGGCCGCCGCCGGGACCCTGTCGCCTCCCCCTTGACCCCCTTTCGCCTCCCCTCCCAACATATCGCTCCCCGTTGGCCCTGCACGGCCAGCTCGGGAGCTCAGCTAAGCGAGCTCAGCTCGGGACAGACGCGTCACCAATGGCCGATTGCTGTCGGTCGTCCGGCCCAATCGGCTATCCGTCCTCTTATTGAATGCATCGGCCCCGCTGACCGGGAGGTGATGAGCGGACCGACGGCCGACGGGTGACGTCAGCAGACTGGTGTGTCGTCATCCGTCACCTGACGTAATATCACCACCTTGCCACAATTTCGTCTGATGTCCCAGGATCTCGACGGCGGCCCGGACCGGCGTGGCGGCTCAACGGAGGCTCATTAAACTATTTTTACCCTGGGAATATCGTTTGTCGCAACTGTTCAGTTGATTGAATGTGATTTGTGTGTTCTATCCCTGTAATGTGATTTGTCGTCCGATACCCATCTCCCCCGCTGGCGCTGTCTGACTCGGTCCTCCTCTCGGCAGACCCGCCGGTGATCACGGAGGAGCCGCGCGACCAGAAGGTGCCCTACTCAGAGGCGGCCGCCTTCTTCTGTCGGGCGCGCGGCGACCCGGCGCCGGTCATCACCTGGTGGCGTAACGGCGAGCCGCTGCAGCCCAGCCTACTGGTCGAGTTCCCGCAGGGCAAGGGCTTCTGGGTGGAGCCGGTCCGCCGCACGACTGACGAGGGCGACTACGAGTGTGTGGCAGAGAACGGCGTGGGTGATCCGGTGCGCGCCAAGGCCTCGCTCACCGTCATCGGAGGTAGGTGAAAGCGGGAGATGAGTGTGTGTATGTGTGTGTGTGGGGGGGGGGGAGGAGTACCGGGACTGCTTGTTGTTGTCGGTTAAGGTTTGTTGCAAGTTTGAACCCTTTGGGATTCGTGAGAGCCAGATCTGAGTATATGATTACACTGCCTTCTAGAAAGGAGCTTGTCTGGTGTTTCAGACACCACTTCACTATGCCTCAGACACCCTTATCGTCTAGACAACGACAATGGGCCAAATCATTGGATATCGTACTGACCCACAGGGACCGCTGTCGGCACTTGTATCAACGAACATTGAGGAGACGATCTAGGTGGATCTGTTGACGGATTACGTCACTAATTACGTTGGTAAATTCGAACTCGATGTGAAACGAATCATCGAGTCATTTATTTGAAGTGTGAATGGGATGTTTAAATAGCGTACATATTTGAGAAGGAATCTGCTGAAAGTCTGTTTCACTAGGAATGTTTAATTCGAATAGAATGATCTGTTCTAACGAACGAGCTGTCGATGGCTGCAGACCTTCAGCCGTTTTTAGTGGATGATGGCCTGCTTTGGCTGTCCCTGGTGTCATAGAACGATGAGCCTTATAATCGCCCGAATGAAAAACCAGTTCAGCCAAATGATTCATTGAATGTCAAAATTTAGTGTACACGCTGCGATGAGAAGACAATCACTGCAAGCTCCATTCATTCATACCTCGCCAAAGTATGTGGGCTGCATGCTGCTGCTGCGTCCCGTTTCGGGTCCGTCGGATGACCCTGAGTACCGCCGACTGTCGGGCTCAACAAGTCTGCCCCGCTCGGCGGCGGCGGCGGCGGCGGCGGGGATCAGCGCGGATGGAGCGATCAGGCCCAGCCGCGGCCGGCGGTACAGGGTGCTCGATCGGCCGCCGCTCGCCGAGAAATCCTCGCGGATCCTCCCGGTGCTGAATGGTGGGCTTATACAGCGCGCCGCGGCCGGGATGGGCCGGCGCGCGCCGAATGGCAAGGAGCTGCCCCCGCCGCGCGGCGAGCTCCCCAGGATGGGTTCGGCGCCGGATTGATGCCACATTTGAATTGGGTTGTTTGTGCTGCCGGTCGGCGGATGAGCCGGCCGCAGAGCCGCGCCCGTCAATGGTCCGAGCAGGCTGATATCAGCACCCGCCGCTCTCGACTCTGATTTGCACCGAGGTGTGGGGAAGTGATTTGCGTTTGAATATGTCAGGCTGTTATGATTTGACATATTTTTCCCCCGGGATGTCATTTCCCCTTCGTTGGGAGTGACGCGGTGAATATTAATCATTTACTTTTTTTCGTTTGCTTGACCCATGCATATGTTTGGTTATATGTATGCTGTTTCCGACCGTAATTGATCTTCATCGTAACTTCATCCATATTCCAATTCGTTTCTATTTTATCTCATCGCTTTGTACGTTTTTGTTTCGGCTGCAAAAGCTTCATCATATCTCAAAACTTTGTTTCGTCTTTGTCCTTCACTACCATATTTTTCTCCTTTGACCTTCAGACAGCCGTCTGTTGCTCGGACGAACTCGCAAGCCGCGCTCATTTGCTCTGTTTAGTCATACTGGCCGTGACACTGAGTGTGTTTTCCGGCGTTAACTCGGCCTAATTTGCAGTTCGAGCCGGCCGCTGTCTCCCCACTGCTGTCCGTCCGACGCCGTGAAAGCCAATCGTTGCCGACGGTCGGGCGATCGACTCACGCCGTAAAATCGCCCCGTGCGCCGTGTTTGTATCCGCTGCGCCAATTTCCGCCGCCTGTCGTGCCGCTGTTTTTGTGGCCGACAGCGTCACCACACCGGTGGGGACCTGTTGTCCCCGCCGGCCGCCGCATAAATGGAAACTCAGATTTACGGCTCGGTCGAGCGACGGTTGTAAATCTGTCCTCTCGTCACCGCCGGCCGGCCAAGGAATGGGCTGTGCGTGCGACGGCTGCGTCCGCCGGCGCCGACCGTCCCCGGAACGTCAGAGGAGAGATTGGATCCTTCCGGGACGATTTGTGGGAATGCAACGGAAAATTGAGTGATATTTGCTGCACACCGAATCCTCTTCTCCCAAGATTTTGACGTGAATGTCTTGCGCCATTTGGTGTCCGTGGAAGTATTGCTCCGTGCCCGATCACCTTTCAGCCCGTGAGTTCCCAGACGCCCCTGGGATCGTGAGCGACTCGTGGCTCCGTCTCGGTCGCCGTTGCCGCCCACGGCACGTCTCGCCGCCCCCGCCCCCGCCCCCGCCCTGGTCGGCGGCGTGCCGTCTGCCGTCTGTCGGAGTGTGCCGTGTCGCACCTGGCGTCGCCGCCGCCACACTTTATGGTGGTTTATCGCTGAATGATGTGGGCATGTGTAGCGACTTCATTTCGAGTCCCGGCTGTAACGGCCGGGCGGGGACCGCCACCGCCGGCTCCGCGGCCGCCGCCGACGGCCTGCTCACGACCCGAAAAGCTACTCGCCGAAATTAAGTGGCGGCAAGTTGGCGAGCCTGTGTCCGCCTTACGACTGTGCTCCTTACAATGAACGAGCGGCCGGGATGGCGCCAGGTGGCTCCGCACCGGAGGGGGGTAGGTGTGAGGGGGCGGGGTCGTGACCTCTGGCCGATGTGAACTCGAGGAGATGTCGGAGAGACCGGGGTCACGTCTGTGGCGGTAGGATTGGATGAAAGCGACCAGCTCTGGAAATGTTGACTCTATGAGACCGGTGTCATTTCTGCTGGATGCTGAAGCTGACTCGATGTTGATGTCTGCTGGGATTATGTTACTGCGCTGCAGAGAGGCCATTCAGCTCTTGCCGGCACGTAATCAAGAAGCTACTGTAAGTAGTATTGAGGCTGTCATATCTCCGCATTGAGGAGGACGGAATAGGCTAGATCAGATGTTAGTGGATCCTCAAAAGAAATAGAAATGTTTGCCTGTCATGCAGTGCATGCATCTTAGCCTACCCTTTCGGTTTTTAGGCCAATGTCTGTATGTGATGTGTAAGCATCTACGTAGCAAGAAACACCATTGAGTTAATGTCTGACTCTGTAGCTTACATAACATCCCGATTTGAAGGCCACCTTGGTCGATCCTGTCCCCTTGGGCCTCGTCAAACCCGTACCGTACTGCTCCCCGCTATACAATGTATCTTGGTCAAACCTAAAGCTAAACGACCTCGCCGGACCGCCACATCTCCCTGTCTAACCCGCCCTGCCACCGCTCCCGACTGACGCTCCCCACCGTCCGGTCACCGTCCTGCGCGGTGGGTCGCGTGCCACACTCCGCCGATCCATCACCCCCGGCCGCAGGTGGCCGCACGGACGGGTGACAGCGCCACCGCCGCTGCCGGCACCGGCTCGTTTTTACCCGTCCCTGCTCATTGATAGATGAGCTCCCGGATGACGTGGGTTCGGAGTGCTGCCGTCGCTGCCGCGTTCGCAGTTGTTCACCTGATGGTCTTAATGTCAGAGGGCGTGTCAGCAATGTCAGCAGCGTCACCCGCGCCTGCGTTTTGTCAGTGCGACTGTTGAAGCTTGAAGGCGCAGTTCTTCATGACTGTAAAGCTGGCTGTGAATGATGCGTCTGGCATGATGTTGCATCATTGGTGACGCATCGTTAGCTCAGACAGCACGAGCCCCCACAAACTACGTATCTGGCCGTGAGACACATTTTACTCTGGACTGTTGAGACCTTTGCGACGTCACTCGGCAGACATACCTGGCTGGTCCCTCTGGTCCTGTCTCCTCACTGCCCCATAGACCGCTCCCCTGTCCATTTTGTCGGGGCGCGGCGGCCGTCAGCCGGCACTGCGCCTCTCCACTGGGATGGTGGCGCGATGTTTTATAGTGCGCCGAGCGGCCCTGGACGCCGCCGGGGGATCGTTCCCGGCAGCAGTGGCCGCACCGGCGCTCTTTATATTCATTGCGGACGGTGTCGGATCGGCGGGCGGACCGCGAACGGGCCCGCCGCCATTGTCAGACCGGACGCAGTAGGCGGCCGGAGACAGCGGGACTGGCGGAGACTGAGACCGACCGGCGCCCACAGTTTTACGACAGCGCAGTCAATGCAACAGTGGGTCAGTTCTGATCACAGCTATAGCCTCCTGCAATAGGACGTTTGTGGGAAATCAGGCAGCGGAAACGCCGTCTAGAATTTTATGTGATGGGTTTCTTGAGGACCCGGAACCTCTCAAGAGCATGTGAAAAGCAGTCAAAGGTCCTCAAGCTCTAAATATAATAATACTCATATCGTACCCTTTTCGTCTTTTCCGTCTGAACGCCTCCGTATCGGCCGGAGTGATGTGACCCGGCCGCAGACCGGAGCTCCCCACATGTCACCCCGGGCGCCCCACATTCCGCCCCGGGGCGGACCGTGCGCCGGCCGTCGCCGGTTTCGGATGACAGACGCTCTCCGTCTTCATCGATCGAGACGGGATGCCTCCTCTGCGCCGAGTCCATCCAGTGGGGCGAACTGGACGGGAGACAGCTGGGGATACTCCAGGACGATTAGAGACGATTGGAGGCCGCTCCGCACAGCTGGGGACGTTTGAAGACGGCTGGGACTGTTGGATGTCTGAGGATGGATAGGAGTGCAAACAGAACTACCCGGAGCTATTCAACTATGCACTGAACTACTTTGGAACCGACTGGAGCTGTCTTGAGTGCCTGGAGTGATTTCAGAATGTCAGGGACTATAGAAAGATGACTGCTCTTCAGCCAATCCACTGGGGCGGAGACTTTATCCACCCTGGGCCGCGCCGCTGCCGCTGCCGCTGTCGCCGCCACTACTGCTGCTGTACCGCCCCTCCCAGGACAGCCCGCTGCGCCGCCGCGCGGTGCCCGTCTAGTTATTCGATTTGGGAGGCAATGAGTCAGACCTGTCAGCGCCTAATTTAAACCTTACCGGGAAACGTGCGCCGGAAGGAAACGGTTAAAGTGCGTTTGGCGGAGGACGGGACGCGGCTGCGCCGAGGAAGATGGAATGGGGACGGCGCGGTGGTGACAGCGAGGTGGCGCCGGCTCGGCTGATAAGAAAGGGGAGTGGAGTTACCTGCTCCCGGATGTCGAATCTAACTCCCCGCGCCGCCCGCCGTGCTGGAAAGCCCGGGCGTTGGCGAGTGTTGTCCTGTGTGGTATGTGAAGCACTGTAAGGGCGGCTAATGGCACTCGGTCCTACCTGTTTCCGAGGATCATTGATGTCGTTGCGAGGGTGTCGGATACAATGGCGGCTTTGTGCGGTGTCGACCTCTGACCGTGTTTGACCCGGCGGCGCCGGACCGTCACTGAAGAGCTATCGATCTCGTCCATATTGGAGGCGGCGGCCGGTCGACCGAGCACCGGTCGCCATTCTTCCGCGCGAGGTTATCGGACCGTCTGTGTGCTCAGAGGCCGACTTCTGAGGCCAGATTCGGTTGTCAAATGCAAATTGGGTTAATATACGATGACGGCTGGCTTTGAGACCGAATGGCGGCGTCGTAACGCGAGCGGCGCCGATGGCGGCGGAGCTGGAGCTCAGACGGACCGGCCATCCGTGGAATCGTCGGCCGTCGGCGCCGACAGCGGTCACGGAGCGCGCCGCTGTCCCGTGTCTCCCGTCCCAGTCCTCTCCGCCGGACCGCCGCTCACCGGTGCTCCCTCCCTTCCCTCCCGTCCACCCCGCGGCGACGGCACAATATTGTCCGCGCTCGCGCTGGGCGCCGGTGATTTAGGTGTTGTGCCGCCGCGGTGGCCGCCGGCCGGCCACTGGCCAGATTGCAGGGCACGCCACGACAACTTCGGCCGTCCGTCTTGTGCGGCGGCCTGACTGCGGCCCGGAGCGCTGTTGGACGCTCGCTAAACGCTACGATTCTCTCTAGTGTGTTTCATTGCTGCGTTTGATGCAGTTCGTAGGTGCCTGATGTGTTTTTAATCAGCGTTTTCTGCCTTTCCCAGGTGCGGACAGCGTGCGTCCGTCGGGATTTCCGCGGATCACGCAGGACCCGATGCCGCAGCCGGTGGAGAAAGGCCGCGACTTTGTGGTGCGGTGCCGCGCCACGGGCGACCCGGAGCCGACCATCCACTGGTTCAAGGACGGCGTGCCGGTCAACATGTCCGACAGCCGGTACCGACTGCGCGGCGAGCCCAACAGAGGTGAGCTCCGGCGCGTAAAGGGGACATGAACGGCGAGTTTCAGCGCATAAGGCATATTTCTCTTCATTTCCTGGTCTCAAGTTAAGCGTATACATACAAGCATCGCCAGACAATATTATTTGTACATTGCACATTTGGCGATGAAATTTGAAGATGTACATGTACAGCCCACCGCTAAAGTAATGTAGGGTTTTACCAATCTCAACGGTTGGCTTTGACTGGCGATTGTTTAATGCGGAGTGATCGAAAAGAAGATGTCAATAGCTAAAGTTGCAGCTGCAAGGGTGAGGATACATATAAGCTACATTCAAAGTTTCATTGTAGTCTGGCTAATCGTTCCTAAGCTTCAGAAGCAGAACACACCCATGACTGAGACCACACATTACTTTTGCTGTGGACTGTACATACAACTATGTACAAGCTGGGTGCCAATTAAATGACCGACCACCCTGAAGCATAATCATATCAGTCACTGTAATAGACTATGAACACAACATTCACCTTTCATTGTGTCGGCATATCATGAAAACAGTTTTGCTTCGTTGACAGTTGCAAGTAATGAATTCGAACTTTGCATGACTGGCTGATTGTTTGTTTCAATGCGTGCATGCCGGTTTGCGGAAGTGAATTAGTTTCATATGACCTGTTAACCTTGAAAACAAACGTGTTGTTAGTGGTTGAGAATATGAGGCTACCCATCAAGTGAGGAACAGTCAATTTTCCTTTGCCATTCGGAACAATGCGAAAGCGCGGTTATTTCCATTTCACTTCATAGCTAATGTTAGGTGCCCCTGTCTACACCACATCCATTTGATAACGCTATGCACTCATCCACCCTCTCCCTCGGTACTGACCCGAACAGCCAACTGCCGTGAGCCTGATAAACGCACGCCGATCAACGGATAATGCTGGCGGCGAGTAGCGCCAATGCGGCGTGTTTGGCGCGGCGGCGGCGAGAACGACGCTTCGCCGTGGCACTTGACAGTGACCGGCTCCGAAATCGGTGACAAATAGCGTCAGACCGCTGAAAACGCGAATCGATGGTTATTGCTGCACTTTGCAGCACCAAGGTGCGAGATTGACAACCGATGTGCTCATGGGTATGCTGATTTTTGTGCAGCATTTTCCCTCGACGGGCAAACAAAAATATTCGGAAAATTTACGTCGACCGCTCAAATGTATGTAGGCGCACCTACCATATTTGAAGCTAACTTTGACGTTTAAACTTTCTCAGAAAAGTTGCTGGTTGGTTCCGGGTTAGCCTTTGTCAGGTACTGAGTAACTGGAATAATGATATTCATATGCATATTGGATCGACCGGGTGCAATGTATGACGCCTTTATTCCTGCCACTGCAGTTTCAGAACTATGGTTATACGGTGCCGCAGGCTCTCGCAGCCTCTTCTAGGAACAGCCGCACTCAGCTTGCTTTGTATCCGATAAGATCCAATTCCGTTTGCCTAATTTGTCGTCATTTAATCCACGACTGGGCGTGTCCATTTGTTCCCCGAGAACTCCCAGCGGACGTCTGCGCGGGACGGGACGTCTCGCCATCCCCCGGCCGGGGGGGGGGGGGACTCATGGCTCGCCCCTCCCATGTCGATACGTGTCCCGGTCGGCAGTCGCGTCTATCGCTGTAGTTTGTCGGGGCCGATGGGCCGCAGGTGTGGACTACGGCGCATCGAACGTCTCCCAGTGGCGTCCGGTCCGACAGAGAGGCGGCCGGAGCCGACGGGCGGAGGACATTTCACAGGCGCGCCCGGCCAACTTTGGCCCAAGTAGGCGCCGATGGCCTTTCCATATGTTTCGCAGACTTTCCATGCCACCCTGCTCTCCGATTTTCCGTTCTCCGTTTCTAGAAGAGTCCTCGGAACAAAGCGGTCGGAGCGCAGAGAAAGCGCTGTTTCTCAGCCCGTGTACCGCTCGGACTGGCGAGTCTCGCAGCTGCCTGGAGGTTAGGCTGTACCGTACTACACGGCTGTCGTGCGGCACAGTCTACCTTTCAGGCGGCCCAGCCGCCCGGCCTCGGCCCCAGCAGAGAGCCGATGATGGCTCGTCCGTACGAGACAACTTTTCTGAGTTTTTTATTCTTCTTTTGTTTTCTCTCTTCTTTCTTTTCTCTTTTCTCTCTTTTTTCCTCCATCCCTCTCTCTCTCTCTCACTTCTCCATGCTCTCTCCCTCGCTCTGTTTTTCTCTCATCTCATCCAATATATTTTACACATTCATTGCTCTCTCCCCTCCCTCTCTTGCACCACTATCTCTTTTTCTCTCGCTCTTTCCACCCCCTCTCTCCTCCTCTCTCTCCCCTCTCCCTCTCAAATAACTCAGGCTGTTCGGCGTGTCACCTGGCAGCAGAGCCTTTGTGTGCCCCGGGATCGATAGGTGGCACCGGCTCACTACTTGCCGCCGACCCGACCGCCGTGTAATGGAAGTCAACCGACCGGCACCGCGCCGCTCTGACGCCCCATCAGTCGCGGTCGAGACGTGAGTTCGATGGTCGAGAACCGGTGACGCATCGGATGTGGGCCATGGCTATATGACGTGGCTACAAGGGTCTGTTAGTAAATTCACTAGAGTGAAATACGCCTTGGAAAGACAGCTGGCTGGAGAAAACAGCCTCGTAAAATCCTCAAAGATGGCGTTTGCCGCGGACGGCCTCTCTTACCAAGTTGTGCCGAAAAGTTACGCGGAATAAACTGTGAGAAATACGCCGCGCGGTGAAGACTCAGCGATCGTGCGCTCTGGCGAACATGGGAAGCCCATTTGGCATTGAGAAGATATTGACCACGGGGATACGGCCACTCCCGCGGCGGAGTGGCGGACGCTCTCCACTCACCAGTTAGGAAGTGTTTCAGTGGATGCGCTCTGTCGGCTTTGGGTGTTTATAAATGTGCTCTAGTCGCTGTCTCCGATAACAGTCTGAAGAAGTCCACACTCCGCAGTGCTATGGTCTGCGAGAACGATGGCTAGCTTGTCTTCAGAACATACAGAAAACGATGCTGAGCACAAGCCGCTTTTCGTTGATTTTGACCTTTCTGCATGGGCTTTAACCCGCGCGGGGCTGGGGGGGGGGGGTAAATTTTACCCCCCCTCGCGAATTTTTGCGATATCTCAAAAACGGCGGCGCGCAGCGCCGCCAAACTTTCAGTACCTTTTCTTACATCAATTTGACACGTTCCCTGAAAATGTGAGCGAAATCCGTCGGAAAATTTTTGAGAAATTGACGTTTTAGTGACGTCATGTTCGCCATTTTCGCCTCAAAAACGGCAAAAGTTCAAACGCCGCTAACATCTTCATTTTTTAAGGAATCAAGACGTAACAAAAAAGGTTATACGTAATTTTACTTTGTCTATCAAATGGCTATCTCGGTTTTTTGAAAATGTTGGATTTTGGCCTAATTTTTTTCAAAAAACTGACTTTTTTGGGAAAATCATTATAAAATCCAAAATTTTGAGTCTATCGAAAAAACCGGAATATATGTCAGAGAAGTGGTCTATGTGCACCTACATACCAAATTTTAGAAGAATCGGTTCAAAAATGTGGGAGTTATTCAAAATTTTATGACGTCACGACACACAAATTTTTTGAAAAATGGCTTTTTTGGAAGTTCTAGACCTCGTACGGAAACAAAAATAGCACCATTCGATTCGCCGTGAAAAACTGCATCAGATAGACACCTTTTTAGGCCTTAACAACCAACTTCAAAATTTGACCTCACTTAACCTGACCTTGACCTGACCTCGACCTGAAATTCATCCAGAGGTGGTCCATATCACTTATTGAGTGTGCCTATTGAATTCTATGAGTAAAATGACCCATAAAACATGTGTCGCACATGCCCTTTTCTATATTTTGTTTTTTGGTGACCTGACCTGACCTGACCTGACCTTGACCTTGACCTCTGAATGATATTGTATGCAACGAATATTGTCTTGGTAGCCTAAGAACACGTTTTGGGCGATCAGTCTCAGTCCATGACTCCATTCTTCGGCAACTACGGTGCAAGGCCGATACTGTAGAAACTTGCAATTTGTACCCTTGACCTGACCTTGACCTTGACCTCAAACTTTAAATTAAGTACATGTTTTTAGTAGTTCGTGATGAGAGCTTTCGATTGGCGTTTGAATTTTCCAAATCGGACCATTAGTTCGGGAGATAACAGGGGGGGTAAAATTTACCCCCCCCCCCAGCCCCGCGCGTTCGGCTGGAGACCCCAGCCCCGCGCGGGTTAACTGCATTCCTTGACCTTTTCTTTCAATATATTTAACTTAATATCAAGTCATGGCACACATCATCATTCCTGCCCATTACAACTGTCACTTCCTGATGTGACGTTTTCGGGTGAGGGCGACGGGCAGCTCTTAGTGATCCCATAGTGATATGTCGGAATTCAAAGCTCATTCCCTGAGCCGTCCACTGTGGACCAACTCGGCGGGAGGACCATGGTTCCGCTGCCGGTCGGACCGGGACGCCGGGACGCCAGAGGAGCAGATGGCTCACCGTCTCGTTGTGGCTAACTAGCTCTATCAATATGTCGAACTAAGTGAGCCGGCCGCCGAGCGGGCACCGACACTCGCCGAGAAAATTTACGACATAGCCGCTAACAGTCTCCTTTGAATGCTGATTGGCTGCATACGAGATTAGGGCGGCGGCGCAGGGGCTAACTTGGGCGGACAACTTTGCATGCCGGCTGATCGTAAAAGGTCAGCCACTCGGCTCGGAATGTGCCATCTACCGCGGCTCGCGGCAGCGTGGTGTGGTGTTTGAATGTCCTAACGGGACCGACTGCCTGCTGGCCAAATGTGATACTTTTTATATTTATTAGTTGGTTTAATTTTATTATTTTGGTAAGATCTTTAGATGCTCATAAATTGCTGTCTTCTCGTAGCTTCCGTCAGTCATCGTATTCTTTCGTGACATTCTTAAAAAAAACACCGTGGTTTTAACATTATTATTTTCTTGGCCATTGTTTTTTCTTCATTCTGCTTATCAGGTTTGTG